AAATTATATCGACCGTTCTATCGACTCAAATAAAGTTTTAATCGTTTTTTCAAATTTTTTGTGTTTTTTTTTTGAAAATCAAATCCTATACCTCTTAAAAAATCAACCGTTACATTGCATAAAACGATCGGTCCTTTTATTTCAGATTCAAAGAAGGCAGCTAAGTTTATCAAGGAGCTTAAAGCAAAAATTTAACTTGAAACTGTCAAAACTCCGAGATTAGGGGGAAATTCCTTCTGTTCCCGCTCCACTCACCGCGGGATTTCGCGAAAAAATCTTTGGATTTGGCTTAAACCCAACTGCTGCCGGAGAAGTACTTGCTTCCAGGGGCATGATTCGAAATGAATTTCGACCTAATTTTTGGCACTGCGAAGACAAACTTTCAATTGATATGTCTGTTTTTTTAAATGCCATTGACGTACTACGTGGTTTTTTGACATTTGGATGTCTTCACATCCGTCTTCCCCTATTCCCGTTCTTCTCGAAAATTTGAGTATCAGTTCCCGGTACTGTACTGTAGACACCGTAGAGTCGCTAAAAATTCTCAACTCATTGATCGGTTACCAGATGACGATGCGTCGCTTAAAGAGAGGACATTCCCATATTTACCTCTGCAACATCTCTAGTTCTTGCATCTGTCAATCATCTTGGCCGCCTGCTGTTTTCCATTTGATTTCCTTGGGAAAAACTTTTATTACGTATATTGAAAAGTGACATTTTGTCGGCCTTTTTGACATTATGTAGGTTTTCGTACAAGATGTCAACTTACGAGGGTGGTCCCAGAAGTACCCGGCCTGACCTAGAGATGGCGATAGTTGTTTGAAAAATATCATTGTATTAGAAAGTATGCAACCTATAAAGCATATGTGTCAAGTTTGAAGACGCCACGTTGTTTAGTATTTGTTTGGCAGCCATCAATACTGAATACAGTGAATTTGTGAAAATTGGTCATCGTTATGTCGTACAATACTTTTATTTCAAAGGCCTCAGCCCAACCAATATAAAAGCTGAACTGGATTCTACTCTGGGTGAGTCTGCTCCTTCGTTTACAACAGTAAAATATCGGGTAGCAGAGTTAAACGAGGCCGTATGAGCTGCCAAGACGAGCATCGCAGTGGTGGACCAAATGAGGTGACGACTCCAGAAATGGTGAAGAAAATTCACAAAGCGGTACTGAATGATCATCGAGTGAAAGTGCGCGAGTTAGCAGACATAGTAGGCATTTTAAAAAGTGCGGCTCATTGCATATTATCTGACATGACATGAGAAATCTGTGTGCAAGATGGGTGCCGCGATTGCTCACAATCAAGCAAAAACAGTATCGTGAAGATGTTTCAATTGAGTGTTTAGCGAAGTTTCACAGCAACAAAGCAGAATTTTTACGTCGTTTCATAATCATGGATGAAACATGCGTCCATCAATTCAGACCCGAGGTAAAAGAACAATCAAAACAATGGACTCAAAAGGGACAACCGGCTTCAAAGAAGGAGAAGATCGTTTCAGCTGCAGGAAAGGTTATGGCGTCGGTTTTTTGGGATGCGCGTCGGATAATTTTCATTGACTATCTTGAAAAAGGTAAAACTATCAACTGCGAGTATTATGCAACGATTGAGCGATGAAATCAAGCAAAAACGGCCGCATTTGGTTAAGAAGAAACTGTTGTTTCATCAAGACAATGCACCAGCTCACAAATCCGTTATTGCAATGGCCAAACTTAACGAATTAAAGTTTGAATTGCCACCTTATGCACCCTATTCCCCAGATTTAGCCCCCACGGATTATTTTCTGTTTCCAAACTTGAAAAAATGGCTCAGTGGTCGAAGATTTTCCAACGATGAAGAAGTGATGTCGACAGTTAATGGCTATTTTGAGGAGCAAGACAGTTCTTATTATAAAAAGGGTATCGAACTTATTGAACATCACTTGGAAAAGTGTATAGAGATTATGTTGAAAAATAAATACATTTTTTTACAAAATTTTTGTTTTCTTGGTTGGGTCGGGTACTTCTGGGATCACCCTCGTAGCACCTGTTGAACACTTGATGTGTACTGGTTCCGCAGCTGTACGTGTTGCCTAAACGTCGTAAGTTGTATACTATGGCTGAAACGAAACGGCAGTGCAGTTTCGTTGGTTTATTGTCTCAAATACACTTACATGTATGCAAAGCTAAAAATTAGTTGCGCATCCGCTTTTTCCTATTCAACCTGGAAATTAGATATGCAAGTTTGCCGAATTTAAAAAAAGAGAGCTATAAGAAAGGAAAATCCCTGGTTGGTTAAAACTAACAGGTGAGAAAATACAGGAATATTTATCAAAGTGATTACATTTCACGTTAATTTATATTAACAGTCAATTAATAATTTTATAGAAATATATTTTACGATGTGAAGTAGAAAGTAGAAATCAGCTGTGTAAGGCAGTGCGAAAATGTTTTGTATGTGATGCGTCATTCTTAATTTTACTGTGATGTGGATAGATTAAACACAACGCTGGTTCAGCTCTTAGTTCCCGTAATGCTTCTCAAAGTTTTTGAAAACGCAAGGAAAACGGGGACAATTTAACTTTGAACATATCCTCTTCTCAGAAAGGACAACACAAATAACCCGCCTGGCACAGCTAATAGATATATACTAAGTGACATATAAATCCGAACACCCAGTTTAAATGGTTTTATTTTAATAAAATTTTGTATAAGTACTTAATGAAGCATAATAAGTAAATGATAAAAACTTCAAAATGATTGCACTGCTTTAAAGCCCTTTGACCTTTAATAATGTGTGGATGCACCCTGATGTGCTACGCATTCTCCAACGCGCCTAGGCATGCTTCTGATCAGGTGGTCAATGTCCTCCTGTGGTATCTCATTCCAGGCAACCACCAACTCCTCTCGAAGTGCTTCTAGAGTCTGAGGAGGACGTTGCAAATTGAGCAATCTCCTACCCATCATCTCCCACACTTGCTCAACTGGGGATAAGTCGGGAGATCTTGGTGGCCATGGTAACAATGTGACATCATTATGTTGAAAGAAGTCTATTGTCACTCTTGCAACATGTGGTCGGGCATCATCTTGTTGGAAAGTTGGATCTGCCAGGGTGTCAAGATAGGGTAAAAGATGGGGTTCTAGAACTTCGTGGATATAACGCTGCGCGTTCATGTTACCTCTGATGAAGATTAAAGGTGACCTGGAACTCCAACTCCAACAGTGTGATGAACATGTCTTTCAACAAAAAACTGTGGATTCCTCCTTTCACCACGTCGCCTTCTAACCCTGGCACGACCATCGTGCATGCCTAAACAAAATCGAGACTCGTCACTAAAGACAATACTGTTCCATTCCTGATCCCAGAGTGACCTTTGTCTGCACCACTCAAAGCGATTACGTCGGTGTTCTCGAGTTAAAGGGAGGACCCAGTGTGGCCGGTATGAAAACAAGCCAAAACTTCTCATTCATCGGTAAACACTTCGCATGCCAATAGGTCTTCCGTGTTCTGCAAACCATTCATTTGCAATGGACCTGGTAGTGGAGAAACCTTCCCTTAAGGCCAATAATCTTAGGCGGCGATCTTCACGGTCTGTTGTTCTACGGCGGCGTCCAGTGCCCCTTGCTCTTTGCGTACGGCCTTATCGAAGCCATGCCTGACAACACCTAACCACAGTGTCTACACTTCTTTGCACTCTAACTCCAATTGCCCGAAAAGAAAGTCCAGCTTCCCGAAGTCCCACTATACGGCCCCTTTCAAACTCACTAAGTTGACGAAATCGTACAGGTCTCCGTACTCTAGGCATCGTAACCGATCGTAAAGGATGTCAAGAACCAAAATCCGCCAACGTTGATTCTTTACTGCGGCTGAAATATTCATTTTTAGAGCGTTAGTGAATTAAAAAAAAGCAGTATAAAAACTGGAATGTCCAACTGTTAAGGCTGAACATTTTTGCACTTGTTATTTACAGTAAGATAAATACATTCACCAACTTTTATTAAAATAAAACCATTTAAACTGGGTGTTCGGATGTATATGTCACTTAGTATATTTTATGGGCAGCATATCCCGTTATAATTTTCTCAAATAGCAAATATCACTGATTTTATATACATGCAGACCAAAACACACAATCATCCAGATGTGATCTTACTATCCTGCTACTCAACCACACATCTTCTCAGAGTATACTCTACAAACTATCACGGCATTCTGCAACCAACAAAGCATCATGGGGAGCTGACGTGCAGCTTTCGGCATGATCATTGAGCATATCGTGACGTCATTTCTTCATAAACGGACGCTTGTGATGACGCTCGCAGCGCTCATAGCGAGCAAACGTGGAATGTACCATCTGCACACTAGGAACTATCTGGGCAGCAAGTTGACATTTTGTCACTTTTTGACCTCCTAGAGGTTTTTTACGTATTAACCCTTGCTTTTGTTAATATTAGATATTAAAAAAGGATGTTATCTGTCTTTAAGTAGTATGTGTAGGCCTTGAACGTAAACTAACTTAAACAAAATGCTGCCGGCATCTTCCAAGAATATACTGCACAACTATAAATCTTTTCGCGAATGCCTCAATCCTCGAGGCAGGTGGTTTTGGTCACTGTGATAAGCAAGATATTTCTGCCAATATAGCGTGCAACATCAAGTGAAACCGTACAAAGGCCTGTTGCAACAACTGCTAAGGTTTCAATTTTTTATACTTGTCACTTTTTTCCAGTGAACTTCTAAAATAGGGGGGGGGGGTTGTAAGACATCTTAAGGGCGATCTGGCAATGTCAATGTCATCCTCTCTAGACAAAATCAAGGAAACTGCATTACCGGCATCGAGTTACGTGATGCTTGCCGGGATTTCATATCTTCACCTAAATGTAAAGATATCAAATATGGTGTTTGTTTTAATGTCCAGATTCACAACGCTGATGCTGATACGAGGGATGTCTTTTAAGTTTTGCATATAAGTGTTCTCACTGCAGTGAATTTTTAAGTGTCTCCAAGTCATTAGAAAAAATGGAACTCAACCGAGAACATTTTCGCGCCATAATTTATTACAACCTTCAGAGACAATTATCGCAACAAGAATGCCTTGCTGAGTTACTGTCTGTTTTCGGTAACGGAGCGCCACATCAGTCGACAATTTCCCGTTGGTATGGAGAATTCAAACGTGGACGGGTGAGACTTAGCGACGATTCCAGCGTGGGTGCACCAAAAACGGCAGTCATGAAGGAAAACGTCGATGCTGTGCGCAAACTCATCATTGAAGATAGACATGTGACATATCGCGAGATTGAGGCGTCCTTGAAGATCTCAAAGACCCCAATTCAAAAAATTTTACATGAAGAATTAGGAGTAAGAAAACTAGTTTCTCGTTGGATACCCCACCTGTTGACTGAAGAGCAGAAAGCAGCCAGGGTTAATGGTGTCAAAAAACGCTTGAACGTTTCAGTTCCGGAAACTCAAAAAATGTGTACAACATTGTTAGTGGTGATGAATCGTGATTTACTGTTATGAACCAGAAAATTAACGACAGTCGGCTGTTTAGGTTTTCCAAGGTGAAGAAAAGCCAACAAAAGTCATCCGTTCTCGAAGTGTTTCGAAAAAGGTGGTCGCGACATTTGTGTCAAAAGCGGGTCATATTGCAACAATTCCTCTTAATGAGCAAAGAACTCGAGCGCCCTACAATGCGTAAATTGCCTGAACCATAACAAGGTATACAAGAAGATTCTACCAGTTGATCATTCGGCTAATTTTCCAAACTGTCCTGTGTTTCTCAATTATGTTCAAACTCTAAAAGAAAGAGTGGATTATGGCTAACACTATAAAAAGTGACTTGAAACTATGTCACTTAAATGTGCGTTCTCTAACAGCTCACTTTAATGATTCTGCCTCTCTTGTTCAATATAAGTTTGATGTTGTAGCAGTCACTGAAACATGGCTGCATTCCAGTATTGACAGCACTGTAGTCAATATACTTGGGTATAATTTCTTCCGTAAGGACCGTGGGAGCAGAGGGGGTGGCATCGGTCTCTATGTTTAATTAGATATTAGCACTAATCTTATCCCAGTTGAGCTCGATGACTTTACAAATCCTCTTGAAATGTTATGCTATAAATTTAAACTGCACCGGTCCAGTATGTTAATTGTTGTTATATATAGGCCACCACATTGCTCTATACATCAAGCCATCCAGTGTTTAGAAAATCTTATCTCATTTTTCACTCCCCAATATGACAACATTATATTCTTGGGCGATATGAATGTCGATTTGCTTGCTCATAACAACATCCTCAGCAGCTGCTTTGATTCATTCAATTTCATACAAGTCATTGATGAGCCTACACGTGTTACAGCCTTCAGTTCCACATTACTTGATCCAATATTTGTTAGTGACAATACTATCTTCAAAAGGTCAGGGACACTCAATGCAGACTCAATTAGTGATCATCGGCTCACATACTGTGATATTTCCGTTTGTTATAAAAAAATAGAGCCTAAATTTGTAACATATAGAAATTTTAATAGCATTGATATTCAAAGTTTTAAGACGCAGGTTGCATCAATGCAGCTTTATGACATTTATTTCGTGAATGATGTGGATATTAAAGTCTCTATTTTTACTGGCCGTCTTATTTATCTATTCGATCTCTACGCTCCGCTACGTACAGTACGTGTCACAAAACCTGCTGCGCCCTGGCTCACTCCTAACTTGAAAATGATTTTTCACCTCAGAGACGAGGCATTCGCTGTCTATCAGCATAATAGATCTGATCAGAATTGGGCCAGCTACAAAGATTTGAGAAATTATGCCCTTGCATCGCTTAGAAGAGAGAAAAAAGCATATATGTCACGTTTCCGGAATCTTAACTCTAGTCAAGCTTGGAAACACCTGAGGAGGATGAATGTGGTAGCCCAGAAACATGTTGCGATACCTACCAGTCTCCTTGAGCCTAACATTTTAAATAATTATTTTCTTTCAATTTTCCAGACAGCTGCAGCTGATCCAAATTTGATTGATAGTGTCTTCTAACTCTTATAGCGATAGACGCCATACACCGGATGCACCTGTGTTTGCTTTTAAACTCCTTACTCAGCAAGACATCATCAATATAATCTCTCACATTAAGTCTACGGCATGTGGCTCTGATGGTCTAACTTTAAATATGGTTTGCTTATGTTTGCCTGATACCATAGACCATATAACTCACATTATTAATGTCTGTCTCGAAACAGGTTACTTTCCTGCCAGTTGGAAAAATGGTATTATTATTCCAATAGCTAAAAATTATCATCCAGAACAATATTCGGATCTCAGGCCAATTACCTTATTATGTTTTCTATCAAAAATACTCGAAAGAGCTGTCTACTCACAACTAGTGGAGTTTTTCGAACAAAACCACTTATTTCCTCTACATCAGTCAGGTTTCAGAGCTGGTTACAGCACTACTTCGTCTTTATTACATCTTACTGATTCCATCATTCACAATTTAGATAATCACATCAACACCGTCTTGGTACTGTTAGATTTCTCGAAAGCCTTTGATACGGTCAATCACCAGATACTACTGAGTAAGTTATCTCATTATGGAACGTCAGATATAGTTCTAAGGTTCTTTGAGTCATACTTGCTAAATCGTCAACAAACAGTGAAAACTGATCAGGGAATTTCCTCCTCTGAGCCAGTACCTTCAGGAGTTCCTCAGGGCTCAGTATTAGGTCCCTTACTATATCTGATTTATACGATCGATCTGCAAGACTGTTTAGTCCACTGTAGTATGCAAACTTATGCAGATGATACTCAGTTAGTGTTTGGTTTCGATCCATCAAAGGTTGATGAAGTTTCTTTTAAAGTTAATTTAGATTTGACTAACATCGGTGATTACTGTAACAAACACTGCTTGAAGATCAATCCTAATAAAACTACTGCATGTTGTACTGTTCGAAGAACTCCTACCGTGAAATGAAGCAGAGGATTTGTGTTTTTTTGGATGAGACACTCATCCCTTTTGTGGATTACGCCAAGAATCTCGGTGTTACCCTTGACTTAAATATGAGATTCGATCGGCATGTCTCTTTCTTATCTAGAGTACGGTATATGCGTTTGAAACTCCTCTATTCTAATCGATACATCGTAGTTCACCGAGGTAGTTTTGTTACCAGAGCTCTTAGATGTAATGCTAATTTTAACATGCCTCCTCACAATACCTCGGTCTTTGAAATAAGTTACACCTATAATGCTGTCAAGCATTACAATGCAGTCAACAGTGGCTATCGATCCAAACAGGTTGTTTCTTTTAAGAAATTAATGAAAAGTCAGCTGCTGAAGTCCATTTAGTTCAGTTTTTCTTGTGTTCATGTGATATTTTTTTTGTTTGACTATTTTCTATTATTTTTGTTTCAAATTTAAAACTCTCGCAATACTATCTGCATTTGTCTCGTGAAATCAATGTTGTCATTCTTATGAATTGTATTTTTTTTGGTATGTTATTATTTTGTTTATGTGTTTAAGTATTCTTTTTTCCTGTTGTGGGGTGAGTGTAAGAGTAGCCAGTCTGGCTAAACTTCGCCTCACTGCAGCTAATAAAGGCATTATTATTATTATTATTATTATTATTATTATTATTATTATTAACTGTTACTGCGGATTGGTGTACCACCATTTGTTTGCCAAAAGTCATCACCGAGCTTCGAAAAATCAACCCCAAAAGAAGAATCATCCTCCACCAAGACAATGCAAGCTCGCACACAACCCAAAAAACAAGGCAGTATTTAACGGAAGAAAACGTGGAATTATTGGACCATCCTCCATATAGTCTCGAACCAAGTCCTAACGATTTCTTTACTTTCCCGAAAATTAAAAACAGACTGCGTGGTCAAAGTTTCCAGTCACCAGAAGAAGCAGTTGACGCATTCAAAAATGTTTTCGATCTGCCAGCAAACGAGTGCAATAATTGCTTCGAAAATTGGTTCGAGCGCATGCAGATGTGTATTGGAGAATACTTCGAAAAACAATAAAGTCATTTAAAACTACCTACCGTGTTGTTTTATTTCCATATGCAAAACTTAAAATACATCCCTCGTAATTAGCATTAGATTTTATTACCTTGAATCTTGCGCCCAGCAGAATTGCTGAAGGAGATGTTGCTCTTATATATCGCAAGTATGATTTTCAGCAGATATCAAATTAGGAACAAACGGAATCCTCGTCCTATTCCTGGCATTTCCTATTCGAGGCGCATTTTCGGCGTCTATTCGATAGTTACTCCTCATCTCCAGGCAAGTAGGAGGCGTCACCGTCTGACAAATGTCAACGGTGCTGCCGTCATTCAACATGGAGCTTCCACTTCTTCAGTGTTATATGTTCTGTGCCTAAAATTGTATTGTAGGCACAGTGTTGCCATACGTAGCGGAATTTCGCTATTTGTAGCGGATTATTTTGAGAAGAGCGGCGTAGCGGCGGTAGAGCAAATTAGCCCAAAATGTAGCGGAATTTATTACATACAAAACTATCATATTTATTTCACTGTTTTAACGTTAATAACGTTCTAAATCCTAAATAGGCAGTGACTAGAGTCTGATTTATTATCACATTAATAATAAAATTGGTGCATTTGGTGCCGCTTGAGCCATCTAGGAACAGAGAAGAGAATCATTCCACTTGCCTTTTTTTTTCAATAACAGATGGCGTACGTACTGCTTTCAATACTAATCGTTTCTAACAGGTCTCAGCAGGCAGACATAATATTAGGTTTCTCGCTTTGTATTGTATTTTTCAGCTCTGGGTATATACTGTTTAGTTTAGTTTATATTAGTGTTCTTATTTTTGTGTTGATCATTTTATTGATATATCATTTGCTGCAGATTTTAATATTAAATCTACTGGTAAGTAACAAAACTGCTTAAATATCTAACATATTCTAGTTTGATCCAGAAATAAATCTTGGTCGCGAAATTTGTTTTTAACGCTTTTTCTTCTTGAAAATAGGAATAATGGAAAGGCGACAGCAGACGATTAACGATTTTTTTGATAAAAATCCTTCTAAAAAACAAACGGTGAAACCAAACGTGGCCGTACCATCCACTTCGACTGCATCTGTGTCGGACTCGGAGCATCCCGAACCTGAATACAGACAAAATAGAAGAGCGAAATCTAGTGGAATCAGGTCTGAGCCTGATAATTCGACTTGCGAATCTCAGGATAACCAAGAGCCAGAGCAACCTGTTAAGAAAAAGACACGAAAACAAATGTTTACTTCATCATGGCTAGAAGATCCGTTATTTAAAGGCTGGTTGGGACCTATTGAAAATGACAAGTTGAAAGCAAAATGTAAAGCTTGTAATCAAATAATGGGTGCTAAAAAATCAGATTTAGTGAATCATTCGAAATCAAAAAGGCATGCCACTAATGTACAAGCAATTTCGAATGTAAGAACGTTAGATAGCACTTTTCAGACTCGGGAAGCACGTGAGTTGGAAAAACGGCAAATATTTGCTTGCTTAAGATATAGTCTTTTAGTTGTAAGTCATTATATAAGTTTTAGAACTGTTGATCATATAACAGGAGTTAGTCAATTATGTTTTAAAGACCCAGATCTCTCTAGCTCACTTAAATTAAAAAGATCCAAATGCATAAGTATAATTAAAAATGTGCTGGCTCCTGTTATTGAAGACGAAATAATTTGAGAATTGGAAAATAAACTATTTTCTATTTTATTGGATGAGAGTACAGACCTGAGAAGTACAAGACTACTATGCATTCTTGTAAGGTATATTCAAAAAAATCCAATTAAAACCCATTTATTAGACATAATTAAAATAAACGCAGATGAAGGTATCGCCCAAGGTTTATATTCTCTTTTTAAAAAATGCGTTATATCCAATCAAGTAAAAATTACCAATATTGTTGGATACTGTTCCGACAACGCTAGTGTTATGATGGGCAATAACGAATCTTTCAAAACTTATCCTTTAAAAGATAATCCTAATATAATTGTCAATGGCTGCATTTGACACTCTGCTCATTTAGTGGCGGTGGCGGCAGCTGAAAAGATTCCAAGCAACGTTGAAGCTCTTTTACAAAACTTATATCTTACTTCTCAAGAAGCCCAAAAAGGCAATGTATTCTTGAAGAATTACAGGAATATTTCAAAAAGTCAATATTAAAAATTTTAAGCCCTAGTAAAACAAGGTGGCTTGCTTTATCCAAATGTGTTGATAGAGTTTGGATCAGTGGGACATCTTGCTTAGCCTATTTAGATTAGCTTCCATTGGGGACAAAAATCCTGTAGCAAATGTAATACTTAATGAGTTACAGAATCCATTTGTTAAGGCGTATTTAATGTTTTTTAAATTCGTTTTTGCCCATTTTTAAACCAATTTAATGCTCTCTTTCAATCAGAGAAAGTTATGCTCAATATCATATCAATAGAGAGTGAGCGATTTGTACGTCATCTATGTACAAACTTTATGCGACCAGAATATTTTAAAAATGAGAAATTATATAATTTAAATCCTAATGATCCCCACTGCTTATTACCAATTGAACAAGTGAATGTTGGTCCGCATACAATGGATGCAATAAAACACTGCAATAACACGGCAATCGAACAATTTAAATTAAAATGTGTCACATTTTAGCAAAAATCGGTAGAAGAGTCCCTTAAAAGATTTCCTATCAAAGACAAGTTCTTTTCAGAGCTAAAGTTTCTCTCACCGGTTGATGTGATGAACAATCGTCTTATTATATGACGCCGTTTTAAAAAAATTTGCCCTTCATATTGAAACCGAAAAGGCAATTTTGGAACTAAAGAAAATATGTATTTATTTTAGTGATAGTGAGAAAGAGGAAATTTTAAAAACAAAAAGTAATGTCATTGAATTTTGGTCGTTTGTAAACGACCTCAAAAATTTTAATGACGAATATTTATTTCGCAATATAGGTAAACTGGCTATAATCATTTAACATTGCCTCATGGAAACGCTGATGTTGAGCGAACTTTTTCTTATATGCTTGATTACAAAACAAAAAAAAAAAGAAATAAAATAATACCATCAACTTTGTCTGCACTACTTACAATTAAATTAGACTTGGAATCAAAAAAACAGTGCTGTTTATCGTATAGTTTTAATGAGAATCATTTAAACAAATATAAAAGAATTTATATAATGTAAATAAGGAAGAACAAGCTGAAGAAGAAGTAATTTCTGATTCTGACTGTGAATAAAATAGCAAACGTAGGCATATCCACGTTTCCGCTTCTTCTTTGTCCTTATTTTTGTTTTTTTTCTATTAAGATTAAGATATTGGTGATAGTTTCTATTTTTTATTAGTTCCTAATTCTAAACCAAAGACAGTTTTGTTTTTTTAGAGGTACACTTTTTATGTTTTTACGAAAAATTGCAATTATATTATGTTACTGTTTGTATTTTTGGTAGGGTTTTTAGACAGTGTTTAAAAAAAAGTAAATATGTAAAAAATATATTTGTTGTTTATTTTAAGCCTCCCCCCCCCCTTAAATTTTTAGACCGTAGCGGCATGTAGCGGAATTTTGCGATACGTGTGACGGATATTTTAAACTTCGCTCTGGCAACACTGTGTAGGCAACCTTTTTTTGGGACACCTGGGACACCCGGAGAACTGTACGCACTCTAGGCATTTTGAGCAATCACAAAGAGGCTTCTCAACAAGCTACACGAAATTTAGCATTCAAAACTGAGTGCTGAGCAATCACAAAAAGGCTTCTCAACAAGCTACACGAAATTTAGCATTCAAAACTGAGTGCTTCTTATCACCAAACAGTAGACTCAGCAACCACAAAAACTTGTCAGAAAAACCTGACCTTTTTTATCATTTGTTGTTCATAGCAAGATAAATCAAAATGTAAAAAATCTCGAATTCTAATAAACATACGTAGGTGTTTCAGATTCCGGTTCAGCTTCATTAATAAATATCGACCTTAACGGTGCCTTTCCGGGAACAATTCCATATGTCCTATGACATACCCCATAAAATCACCTTTCCATATACCATATATCACGAGGACAGCTCGCCGCAAGTCTAGGAATAACTGTTTCTCACAGTTTGGGCCCCCGAACGCCGAATCGCTCAGAGCACACAATTGGTAGCGATGTGTAGTGGTATCCCGCGTAGAGATGCAGAGATAAGAGGTCCCAGATAAGGACCTTGCGGACCACCCCGTTCACACGCAACTGCCTTCGGAATGGGGCGAATTCGTTGCGGTAGTCGACGATTACGTTAAAAACAGTGACGGCTGCTTACAGGGTGTTTTGAAATTGAATACAAAACGTACTACACTTGTAAAAGTAAAAGTGTGCATGGGATAAATCATGCTTATGAAAATAGTACATGCTGGCGAAGTATGCAAATAACGGCCACGTTTGCAGAAAAAGAAAATCCTGTTTCATCCAGTACCTCAGTGGTTGCCATGTCGAAAATCCACGAGTTGCGGTTTGAACTGCTTGATCATCCACCTTACTCACCAGATCTAGCCTCAAGCGACTTCTTTTTGTTCCCTAATCTAAAAACTGCGCTCAGGGGATAGAGATTTTCGTCAAATGAAGAGGCAATCACTTAAGTGAACAATTATACTAAGTGACATATAAATCCGAACACGCAGTTTAAATGGTTTTATTTTAATAAAATTTTGTATAAGTACTTAATGAAGCATAATAAGTAAATGATAAAAATTTCAAAATGATTGCACTGCTTTAAAGCCCTTTGACCTTTGATAATGTGTGGATGCACCCTGATGTGCTACGCATTCTCCAACGCGCCTAGGCATGCTTCTGATCAGGTGGTCAATGTCCTCCTGTGATATCTCATTCCAGGCAACCACCAACTCCTCTCGAAGTGCTTCTAGAGTCTGAGGAGGACGTTGCAAATTGAGCACTCTCCTACCCATCATATCCCACACGTGCTCAATTGGGGATACGTCGGGAGATCTTGGTGGCCATGGTAACAATGTGACATCATTATGTTGAAAGAAGTCTATTGT